GCTCACAGCAACCTCCAACTCCTGGGCTCAAGCAAGTCTCCTGCCTCAGCCTCCCAAGTAGCTGGGACCACAGGCACCCGCCACAACACCTGGCTATTTTTTGGTTGCAGCCATCATTGCTGTTTGGCCGGCCCGGGCTGGATTCGAACCCGCCATCCTAGGTGTATGTGGCTGGTGCCTTAGCCGCTTGAGCCACAGGCGCCGAGCCGAAAGTCCCAGCTTCTTACTTACCTCCCTCTGTCATCACCCTGTCTGTCATATTGGGGTTCCATGTTACAGCCTCCTGAGAGGGCAAATCTAGGCCCACTTGGCTTTTCCTGGCATAGGTGTGGATGGGGCCACATGTTTTTCTGTAGTGTTTGGCTGAAGCAAAGGGATTATTGTCTAAATATTTGCTCTTTTCTCAGGCTTTTCCTAGAGATTTTTTTGTCCACAACATTGACATTTCTGATTTCTGACTTCTTCAGCTCTAAGTCTGAGATACGTGAAGCCAAAATATAACCAAAGAACTTACCACTGATGTTCTTATGTTTTATACACAATGTTTTGTTTTTTTTTTTCTGTTTTTTCATTCTCATCAAGCACAGAGAATAAGTTTTATACACAATGTTCAGGGTTTTTAGTTATACTTCTTGGGAGGAATCAACCCATCTTTCTGGAAGCAGAAGTCTGTATTTTCTTTTAAGAAGTATCTGACCAACATTTGTCCATTTATAATAAGGCGCTATGTCTTTTTTTTTTTTTTTTGAGACAGAGCCTCAAGCTATTGCCCTTGGTAGAGTGCTGTGACATCACAACTCACAGCAACCTCAGACCCCTGAGCTTAAGCGATTCTCTTGTCTCTGCCTCCCAAGTAGCTGGGACTACAGGTGCCCGCCACAACACCCGGCTATTTTTTAGTTGTAGTTGTCATTGTTGTTTGGCAGGCCTGGGCTGGATTCGAACCTGCCAGCTCTAGTGTATGTGGCTGGTGCCTTAGCCCCTTGAGCTACAGGCTCCAAACCAACACTATGTCTTTTTAGCATTGATTTATCATTTATATATTTGTAATATGACTCCTTTGCCAAATTTTTTTTTTTTTAAGACAGAGTCTCATGTTGTCACCCTTGGTAGAGTGCCATGGCATCATAGCTTATAGCAACCTCAAACTCTTGGGCTCAAGCAATCCTCTTGCCTCAGCCTCCCAAGTAACTGGGACCACAGGTGACCATCACAATATCTAGCTATTTTTAGAGATGGGGTCTCGCTCTTGCTCAGACTGGTCTCAAACTCTTGAGCTCAAGGAATCTACCCTCTTTGGCCTCCCAGAGTGCTAGGAATACAAGTGTGAGCCATCGCATCTGCTGGTCTGTTCCTTTTTTTAAAGAATAGACTTAGAGCTATTTATGTATACTTAAAATGCTCTAGAACCACTTGGTTATAATTTTTTATCATACAAATTTGTCATATAATAAGGGTAATTATTGAAGTAAAGGCTTATAAAATAAGTTTTGAGTTTATAAAATAAACTAATACCTGTAAACTAATAAACTAACACCTGTAATCATAGCACTATGGGAGGCCAAGGCAAGAGGATTACTTGAGGTCAGGTGTTGGAGACCACCCTGAGCAAGAGCAATACCATGTCTCTACTAAAAATAGAAAAATAAAAGTGATTAAGGCTGGGCACAGTGGCTCACGCCTGTAATCCTAGCTCTCTGGGAGTTTGAGGAAGGTAGATTGCTTGAGCTCACGAGTTCAAGACCAGCCTGAGCAAAAGCAAGACACCCGTCTTTACTAAAAATAGAAAAACTGAGGCAAAAGGTTCGCTTGAGCCCGAATTGGAGGTTGCTATGAGCTATGATGCCCACGGCACTCTACCCAGGGCAACAGCTTGAGACTCTGTCTCAAAAAAAAAAAAAAATTGATATATTTCTGAGTTCTTCCTTAAGTCAAATACATGTATCAATTTTTATTTCTGATACTTTAAATAGTTACAACTATTTAAATTGCACATGAACTTTATGGCCACACTATATATAATGACTGAATGAGAGAGTTTCTACCTCTTGCAGACCCGGCTTTGGGAAAAACTGAGTACATTCCCTGTGTTTCTTAACTTCTTTACATTTTGTAGACTCCAGAAGTAAAGATTGTTTCTACCAAAAATCTACCAACTCTTGAATATGCAACTCAGGTTTATCTAAAAGATGAAACAAAAAACATTTTTGCAAATATTGTTCACAAGAATTTCCCCAGAATAAGGCTGAGCACAATATTCTTAAGTTCCTTTATACTACAGGTGTATATGCGATGCTTCTGGGTGATAGAAATAGAATAATTCCTGTCAATCTTATCAATAATTCATGGAGTTTTGCTTACTTTTTTATGCTATATTTTTGATAATATAGATCTGTTATAATGTATAAAACATATACATGGGTATTTGTGTTCAATAAAACAGTATCCCAATGATAAGTGACATTTTATTATTCAAATGATCTTACAATGTCAATGTTAATTAAAATATATAACAGACTGAATTCATCAAAGTCGACTAATTCACTTGAAGGTTCCCACTTTTCAAAGTAAGCCTTTTGTAGATAAGTGAAAATCCTCTATTTTGCAGAATTTTAATTTTTACCTCTTAAAGACTGGAGCAAGGCAAAGACATCCCTATTAGCAGAGGCAAGAGAAGCACAGATGGGACAAATACGTTATTATACACAAACTGAGCATCCTACTCCCGCAGCCCTGAAAACTCTGGGTTTCAACATTATTCAGGATTTAGCAAGTCAAAACAAAAGCACAATTCAAATCTAGACAGATTAAAAAACTTCAGTTTCCGTTTGAATATGACATTTCTCCTCCTCGTAGTGTTTAGAATTTAAAGGTAAGAATATTAAATCTGTCTATTAAAGTTTTTACCTGTTGATATTTTGGTTTTTCATATTAAATTTTAGGAGGTGCTGCTTTGCTTTCTGTATTTCTAAGCTATTAGGAGCAACAATGTTTAAGCTCAATGAAAAACAAGACATACAATAAATACATTTTTTTAAAGCACACGTTAATGTATGTAGTTTTTTGCTTTGCATATGTATACTATAGTTAAAGACAAAATGTGGATTAATTCTCATAGTCGGGAAATAGATATTTATTTTCAAAATCAGCTGCGTGTGTGTTTATGAGAGAGAAATTATTTTTCAGTTTAAGTAAGACTAACTTCCTGAGAACTCTCTACTTAGGTAAAATACTGATATTCAGTCTTTTTACCAGGAATTGTAAGAAAAACATATTTTGTACATTCATAAGAAACTGAAGTAGATTACTGCTTAATAATCCAATGGAACATCTGTTTAAACAGATGTTTTAGTTGAGAGACGTGTAAACATGATTCTAAATGCATAAATATATTGGTTATTCCTTTTTGCGAGGTCGCACCAAAGTTTTTACATAGATTAGAGGAAAAGTTGAGTATGGAAAAATTCAAAAATATTACATAAATGCAGATGAAGTAATACAATACAGTCAGTTGAAAATTATTATAATAATTATTTACAAGGCCTTCCATTGCATCAGCTTGTGACTCACATGCAAGTGACCTGCGTCACCCCATCTTCCTGATCAAACTGCCCATCGTCTAATTCCCGGAGGACACTGTTGCTGCTGCTGAGCCCTGGGAAGCCGCTGGACTGTGCTGGCCTTGCCTCCTGTGTCCAGCACTCTCTTGAAGGAGACAGCAGGCGCTCCTCAGGTGGGTGTCTGCTCTCTGAAGCTTGTGATGCTGCTGTGTCTGATCCCACGCTCCTGCTGGACACTTTGTTCCTATCTTCACTTTTTACATGCTGGCTGACTTTCTTCTGAAACACAAGAGATAGGGACCAGGAGTTAAAAAGATGGGTGCTTCCTGTCCCTCAGTTCTAGCACATGCTGTTCTCTGCCTCCTGGAATGTCCTTTCCCCACACTCTGCAAGATGCTGCTTATGTTGTAGGACCAGTTCAGAGCCACCTTCTGCATCCCCTACCCCCGCCCCCCGCCCCTGGACAAATGAGCTCCCCTCTCCCCCGTATATTGTTCTCATTGGCAGGCTGGTTGTGCACACATCGGGGCTCTCAATGACATCTCTGAGTAAAGAAATGGGTTGAAGTCATATGGTAGAATTACAAATGCATTTATCTTCTTGGTGTTTGTTGGGATTTGAAGACCTGAAAAAGTGCTTCAATAGCCACCTTATACCTATTTCACATAGGCCTGGGCTTTGCAGGAGAGTCATGGGTAGTTCAGATATGGAATGACACTTCCCTTGTTCTGCTGCAAACTGTTTCTGCCTGACACATTGGTTGTTTTTTTTTTTTTTTGAGACAGAGTCTGAAGCTGTCACCCTAGGTAGAGTGCCATGCATCATAGCTCACAGCAACCTCCAACTCTTGAGCTCAGGCGATCCTCTTGCCTCAGTTTTTCTATTTTTGGTAGAGACAGGGTCTCGCTTTTGCTCAGGTTGGTCTTGAAGTCATGAGCTCAGGCAATCCACCTGCCTCGGCCTCCCAGAGTACTAGGCATTACAGGCATGACAGTGTTAATGCTCAACAGTATGGTCCAATTCATTCAGACTATTTGATCAACTGTGAATGTTTTTGCTAATAAGTACTTACTGAGGGCAGAGAATGTTGTGGTCAGTTTAGAATAAAGAGAACATAGTGCTCCGGTTCTCTGGGAGAGGGGGAGGCTGGGAAGGAGGATTCCTTGAGCTTAGCAGTTTGAGACCAGCCTGAGCAAGAGTGAGACCCTATCTACTAAAAATAGAAAAATTAGCTGGGTGTTGTTGAGGAAGCCTATCGTCCCAGCTACTTGGGAGGCTGAAGCGAGAAGATTGCTTGAGCCCAGGAGTTTGAGGTTGCTGTGAGCTAGGTACTCTAGCCTGGGCAACAGAGTGAGACTGTCTCAAGGAAAAAAAATAGGATATGGTCTCTGCCAAGGAAATTTAAGTCAAAATAAGCTGGGTGCCGTGCCTATAGTCCCAGCTACTTACTTGTGAGGTTGAAGAGAGAGGATCACTTGAACATGGGAGTTTGAGGCTAGCTTGGGCAACACAGTGAGATCTCATTTTTTTAAAAAGAAAAGATATATGAGAAAAAATATTAGTAAGACAAGCTAAGTTAATGAAGGGCAAGTTCAACAGGGGAATTAGTAGCTCAGCTTATTTAATACTGATAGCATGAAATATTAGATTATATTCATGTACTCTGAGGCAGTAAAACTGGACATGGATTTTTTTTCTTTAACAATTTAAAAGCACAGTAATATCCTAGTTTACACAAAGCTTATTCACTAAAAATTCATGTGTATGTTAGTTGGGAACTAAGAAAAAAATAGAAAAATATAATATAGAAAAATTTAATCTAAACATAAAAATATAATCTATAATATAATTTTAGGAAAAGCTAAAATTCTAAAACTCTTAGAAAAAACCATAGATGTCATCCCAAGCTCTTCTTATAAAAGTTGGTTAATCCAAAGATTTGTTGAACTATAGTGCATAAAATACAAAAGTATTTTCTGGTTTTCAGGGAAAAAATGCAAAGCAAAAAGCTTTGTTAAACTGGATGTTGTGAGCTTCTCTGGAATGTAGCACGTTCAGAATACTGTAAAGGAAGGATACTCACACGAGCCCAGGAGTCTGCCTCAGAGGACATAGCCTAGAGTGTTTCGCGGGAAAAAGTCAACAATTGAGTTCTTCCTCAACAAAGGCCCACCTTCATGGTTCCATGGGCACCCAAATATTACCTCTTTAATTCTTTTCCTGTTTATTTCTAGTCACCACATTTATTGAATTTAGCATAACAGTGAAACCTGACAGATTGACTCTCAGATAATGTACAGGATTTGAGAATGGCACCTTCTTCTCTACAGTGGAACACTGGTCAGTGCAGACATAGTCTTTTGGCTTCAGAACCATCTAATAAGCACAGCCAGACTAAGCTCCTTTCTCAGGCCTGGCTAGTGGCTCCTTTTCCTGCATGCATAAAGGCTGTGTTCACTGTTGAATGTAGCTCCCAGTGCTCTCAACATGGATGGAATCACTGCCTCAGTTCTCTGTACACTATTAAAAGATAGTTTGTTTTAGTAAAACTAAAAACCTATTATGAAAAAAGGAAGAGAAAAATCTTCATAACATGGGATTAGGCAGAAAGTTCTTAGACATAACATCAAAAGCATAATCATTAAAAAATAGATAAATTAGATTTTTATCAAAATTAAAAGTCTAATTTTGCTTTGTGAGTGGCACTGTGTCACTTAAGTTGATTTCAAACTCCAGGCCTCTAATGATCCTTCAGCCTCCCAAAGTGTGAGACTATAGGCATAAACTATTGTACTTGGCCATGGTATAATGTTTTCTTTCTTTCTTTTTTTAATTTCTGCAGCTTTACAGGAATAAAACAATGTATTCTTGATACAGATACATTAAAAGACTTGGTTTCAACAATTGCTGGTTCTTTTGCAAATTTCTTGTTTTGAAAGTCGTGTTTTACTAATGCACAGATTGCCTTGTTCGTCAGTGCTGTGCATCCAGATTTGAGGCTTAGCATAGCCTTCATCAAGACCTGAAGAGTTATGAGTTTGAGTAGACAATATTACATAAAAATGTCGTCAAAGGTCAAGATAGCAAGATTGCACAAATACGTTGCAAGATCAAGCACATTCACTCACAGGTTTAGAAACATGGATGAGGAAGAAACTTCCTCTGTCTTCTTAGGTTCAGTGTCTAAGGCTATGAATTAAACTGACAAAAGACAGGTTAACAGGAGAAAAGATGTATTTTGTATGCACACAGGGTCTTCACAAAGAAAGAGGTTAAGAAACAAAGAGGTGGTTTGATGTAGAAGACCTAGGAGCTTATATACCATTTAAACAAAGGGTAATAAATTGTGACTAGACAAGAGAAAAGGAGTTTGGGATTCTGAGGAAGTAAATTGTGGGAAGGTAAACAATGGGGTAAATTAACGAAAGATCAGGGTTATTAATTTAGTAAGATTTGTTTTTGCAGACTGTCTCCAGTGATTAGGAATCTCTCCTTTGTGATAGGAGAGAGAGAGACCTCTTTACAAACTGAAAATTATTTTACCTTTATAAAGTGAAATTTATGTCCTGTCTTTTGGCAGAAAGGTAGAAGGCATAGAGTCCCTTGTTTTTGTTTGTTGGTTTGTTTTGTTTCATTTTTGCATTTTTTGGCTGGGGCTGGGTTTGAACCCGCTACCTCCGGCATATGGGGCCGGTGCCCTACCCTTTTGAGCCGCAGAGCTGCCCTGTTTTGTTTTTTTGAGACAGAGTCTTAGTCTGTTGCCCAGGCTAGAGTACTATGGCATTAGCAACCTCAAACTCCTGGGCTCAGGCAATCCTCCTGCCTCAGCCTCCCTAACAGCTGGGTCTAAAGGTAGGTACCACCACGCTTGGCTAGTTTTCTTTTTTTATAGAGACCTGGTCTCACTCTTGCTCAGGCTGGTCAAACTCCTGACCTGAAATGATCTTCCCACTTCAGCCTCCCAAAGTGCTGGGATTACAGACGTGAGCAACTGCACCTGGCTTTGCTGTTTCTTAATTAAATTCAGCTTAAAATAATCCTCATGCCAAAATGCCAGATTTGGAGGTGGCATATTCTAACCCCCTCCAGAACTGTCTTGAGCTGATTGTTGGTACATTTCCCTTCAGAAGTGTTGGTTCAGAAGACTGTTTCCACATGGAGACCACATTCCCTCATCTGTATTCAGCATTTAGAATTACACTGACAGTTTAAGGACTAAAGGATTCAATATAACATTCAATTCATAAAGCATCAATTTTACTCACATCTGGTGTTTGAGCAGCTGAATTCCACATAACTGGCCTCTGAAGGAATACAACCTGCTTAGTAACCAAATTCCCTTCACTGCAAATTAAAACAATAGCATTTTAGTATTCATGAATTAGTAATTCTTTATATTTCACATTTGGCTAGAATGCTCCATATGTATCTTTGGTAAAATAACCTTCTAAACAAAAAACAATTATAAAATATAATTCTGTGTAAGTTAACAGCTGGAAAAATAAGAAAAAGCCCCTAAAAATTGAATATGGTTATTATAAAAGAAAATGATTTTAATGTTTAAATATACTTGTAGTCTCACTATGCTACCAATTTTCATCTTTTTGTTCCTTTCTTAGTCTTTACCAACTTGTGTATTTTTATGTATTGGTACTTCTGCTCCTGTGATTTTCACTGAACACTCTTTCTTATTTTTACGTTGTAATCACATTTTTAATGACTGCACAATAGTGCAAAGAATCAAAATACCAAAATGTATTAAGCCTTTCCTTTATTATTGGAAAACTAGGTTGTTTCCAGTTTCTTGCTAATTATAAATAATGCTCTTATGATTTATTTCTTTGAGATAAATTCTCAGGAGTGGGATTATTAGGTCAAAGGAATATGACCTAAACTTCTTAGTATACGCCTTCTCAAATTTGCCTTTTAAAAAGAAGGGATGGATTTGGACTGCCCCATGTGAGAAATGTTACATACGTTTACAACTGCAGGACTTCAGCCACTGCTAGTTTTATTTTCAGATGCTTCTTTGTAATCAGCTACTCAGTATTCTCCTTACTTAACTATCATCATGGCAAATTACCCCTTGCCAAAGACTATTTGGGGTTTGTATTTCTCTTGAAATGCTTTTCACAGAGTCTCCATGGATTTATGGGGAGGAGTGTCTGTAGCTAATGTTGCTGAGTTACGACTTTTATTATGCAAAACCCCCAACAAAACCTTACTATTAGCGGCATTTTATGCTGAGCTCTTTTTCTGGAAAATGAATGCAACACTGAAACTCTTGCTCTAGAGGTTCATGCCCACTGCACACCACTGAAAATCCCAAACTTACTGATACTGCAGAATTTTGAGAAATATCAAATCTTTCCCAAAGTGGTAATGAGAGATTGCTTGTTGCTTTTTTTAGTTTGAAAAGGCTATTTCTAGTCTAATCTCATTTTAGTTTGGCTTTATCTTTGATTAGACCAAAATATTTGGTATGTGGTAACTTTGGGGAACATCTTAAACTGTCATGGGACATAAGTCAGTGTGGAAAAGGGATTAGCATGTGTACAGAAAGCCTGGTCATATGTTTGGGAGGCATGGAGTATACCGGATAAAGCAGTGGCTTTTGGAGCCAAAAAGTTCCTGGGTTTTCTGAGGAAGACAGGTGAATGGCTAACAAACATATGAAAAAATGCTCATTGTCCTTAATCATCAGAGAAATGCCAATCAAACCCATCCCCCACCCTGAGATAGCACCTAACCCCAGTGAGAATGGCCCACATCACAAAGTCCCAAAGCTGCAGATGCTGGCATGGATGTGGAGAGAAGGGAACACTTTTACAAGTGTTCTTTTAACTAAACTCTGTATTAGTTTTACTGCAAACTAATATAGCTTCTTTGCAAAGAAGTATGGAGAATCCTCAAAGAACTCAAATTAGACCTCCCATTTGATCCTGCAATCCAATTACAGGGCATCTACCCAGAAGAAAAAAAATCATTTTATCATAAGGACATTTGCACTAGATTGTTTATCATAGCTCAATTTATAATCACCAAGATGTGGAAACAACCTAAATGCCCTTCAACCCAGGAATGGATTAATAAACTGGTATATGTGTACCATGGAATACTATTTAGCCATAAAAAGATGGAGACTTTATATCTTTTGTATTAACTTGGATGGAGTTGAAACACATTCTTCTTAGTAAAGTATCACAAGAATGGAAAAGCAAATATCCAATGTACTCAATAATACTTTGAAGCCAGTAGATGATCTAATACACACTCACATAAGAAAAAAAAATACTCAACTCAAGTCGGGCTGAGGGAGATCAAGGGAGAGGGGGTTGGTGTGTTCCTACGTAATGGACACAATGTAGTGGTATTGGCATACATTTTGGGTGCAGGACACAACTACAAGAGGGACTCTGCCTGACACATGTAAATATTGTAACCTAGTTGTTTATACCCTCACATTAACCTGAAATTTAAAAAAAAGTTTCTGGGTTCAAATCTGAACTCTATCATAATACCTAATAGCTGATGACTTTAGTCAAAGTCCTTAAATTCTCAGTTTCCTATCACAGACTTTTTGAAGGAAAAATAAATCAGTAGGAAGAGCCTCCCACTGTCCCTGCCTCTAGAGGGACACAGCAAATGTAATTCCTCTCTCCTTGTGTGTACTGAGATGTGGAGTGGGTAAGCCAACCTCTGCCACTTGAGTGTAAAATTTCACAGTCAAACCAGGAGTGAAAGGGATTAACCTTTGTAAGGACAGAAGCTAGCCAGTCTTTCTCCCTCCCTCCCTTCCTCTCTCCCTCCCTTCTTCCCTCCTTCCTTCCTTCCAATTTTTAGAGACAGGATCTTGCTCTGTCACCTAGATTGGAGTGCACTGGCATAATCACAGCACATTACAGCCTTGGACTCTTAGGCTCAAGTAGTCCTTCTGCCTCACCGCTCAAGTAATTTGGACTCCAGGCACAGGCCACTACGTCTGCCTGATCTTTTAATTTTTTTGTTTTTTTTGAGACAGAGTCTATGTTGAGCTCGGTAGAGTGCGGTAGCATCACAGCTCACAGCAACCTCAAACTCTTGGGCTTGCACGATACTCTTGCCTCAGCCTCCCAAGTAGCTGGGACTACAGGCGCCCACCACCTAATCTTTTAATTTTTAATAGAGATGGGTCCTCACTCTGTTGCTCAGACTAGTCTCAAACTCCTTGATTCAAGCAAACTTCCCACCTCAGCCTCCCCAAGGCCTGGGATTACAGGTATGAGCCAACACACCAGGCCCAGAAGCTTTCAAAATAGGAGCTTTGAAACTTCCCAATCAAAACTGACATTGCAGACCAGGATTACAGTGGCTCACGCCTGTAATCCTAGTACTCTGGGAGACTGAGGCAGGTGGATTGCTTGAGCTCAGGAGCTCGAGATCAGCCTGAGCAAGAGACCTAGCCTCTGCTAAAATTAGAAAAATTAGCTGGGCTTGATGGTGCACATCTACAGTCCCAGCTACTTAGGAAGCCAAGGGAGAATGACTCCTTGAGCCTAGGAGTTTGGGATTGCTATGAGGTAGGCTGACACCACGACACTCTAGCCTGGTCAACAGACTGAAATCCTCTCTGTCTAAAAAAAAAAAAAAATTTAATTACCACTAAAGATACTATCAAACTATAAATAAAACTGCTTTTTTTATTTTTGTTTTATTAAAAATAATGCTATTCCCCCTCATGCAAAACTGAATTTTCAGGGGGATTTTAGGTCAAAGCTTTCAATGATTTATCTTTTATAAATGGCCTGTTTACTCTAACTGGCCCAAGAATATGAACACTTGTTTTTATTTTATTTTTCTTCACTAAACTTCTGAACATTATAAGCTGAAATACTTAATTTGGGAGATGCTAAATAAAAAATCTGGACTTTTACAAAATAGTCTTATATTTATCCACTAGTTATAAAGTAACTGAACTAAGCCACTTCTTTCTGTAGTAAAGGCTTCACTGAGTTCATTCTGGACTGGATTGCAGATTGGTGGTGTGGGAAAAGTGGGAACTAGAGGTGAGCCCAGAGTTTTGTTTGGTTTTTTTTTTTGCAACAGAGTCTCACTCAGTCACACTGGGGTTGAGTGCCATGGCGTCATAGCTCATAGCAACCTCAAATTCTTGGGCTCAAGTGATTCTCTTGCCTTAGCCTCCCAAGTAGCTGGGACTACCATGTACCCACCACAACACCCAGCTATTTTTAGAGATGAGGTATTGCTCTGGTTCAGGCTGGTCTGGAATCTGTGAGCTCAGGCGATCAACCTGCCTCAGCCTCCCAGAGTGCTAGGATTACATGCGTGAGCCACTGTGCCTGGCCTCCAGACAAACATGTTAAGAGTTATGGGTCTCAGGGCTGCGTGGGTCAGGTGCAGGCCCCATATACTGAGGGTGGCGAGCTTGAATCCAGCCCCGGGGGAAAAAAAAAAGAGTTCTGGGTCTCAATTTCCTTATGCATAAAATGGGGAAAATAATATGTCCTCTGCCCCCCCCCCAAAGATTATCATAAGAAACAAGTGTGCACTGAGAGCACTACAGAAACTGAGTGAATTGTATTAGTTTAGTCAATCGGATCTTTTATTCTGGGGCAGCCCAAGGCTTCTTCATAGGCATGCTGTTGTCATAGCAAATCCCTCTCCATTAAGTGATGCTCAAATAGAGTCTTCTTTTTGCTTTTTTATGAAATGCTTAGAAGACAGGAAGACAAAAGAAAACATTGCTGAGCAAATATGCTGCAGGGTCTGTCCCCAGGGTCTAGGAACTTCAAATCTAAGTTTCACTGACAATGTTGGAACCCTCTCTGTCTGCAGGGAACTCAGCCTCTCCAGGGCTGCCCCCTCTGTCCTGTCCCTCACAATATGACTGGGGTTATCTGCTGCCCTCCGAATTTATTTTATTTATTTATTTTTTTGAGAGAGAGAAGCTCCCTCTGTCACCCTGGGTAGAGTGTTGTGGCATCATCATAGCTCATAGTCACATCAAACTCTTGGGCTCAGCCTCAGCCCTCTTGCCTGACCCTCTTGCCTCAGCCTCTGGACTAGCTGGGATTACAGGCAAGAGCCACTAGTCAGCTAGTTTTTCTGTGGGTGTTAAGAGCACAGTGTAGTTTAGGCCAGTCATTCCCAAGGGCCGGTTTGTCAAAGTCCAGGTTCCTCACACGCCCTTGTGCTAACACAGTGCACAGAGGCTAGCAATAGCCTGGTGGCTAGCATTCCGAAAGACCTGTTTGACCTAAGTTCAGGGATTCCACACCCCCCTCCCATAATGGGGTAGGAATGGAATGTCTAGCAACTAAATATTGCTATTGACTGAGCTGTGG